AAAGCACACACAAAACAGCGTTCCAATTTGGGACAGTTCGACTCCTTACCAGTTCGAACTTGTAACAGTTCGATTCTGTCCGCGTTCTGTTCTGGTACGAAAAAAGGACTGTTCTGAATTGAATCTGTTCGATTTTAGGTCTGTTCGATTTTGAAAACGTTCGAACTCGTCGTATCCCCGATTTTTCACGTTCGCTGGGGCGCAATTTTCGACCCATTGGTTTGAAATACCGTGATATCGTACTATTGTGTACTGTACCCTGAAAACTATAATTTCTGTTAACTGATTTTCAACAATTTTCAGCATATTTCAAAACATTTTTTTGTGATTTTATTCAATTTTTAAGAATTTAAGATTTTTGGATTTGGATTTTCAGGCCAGCAAATATTCAAAAATGCGAGCGGAAATCAATTTTTTTGAAAATTTTAAACAATTCAAAATTTCTGAAATACGCAAATTATGGATTTGAGAAAATTCCGAATTTTCGAGAAATTCAAAATTTCCAAAAATTCGGAATTTCGCAAAATTTGAATTTCCTGAAATTCGATAAATTCTGGGATTCGAAAATTTCTAAAATTCCAATTTTCGAATTTTTTGCTATTTTCGAAAATTCTAAGAGTCAAAAGCTCCGATTTTTAAAATTACCGGAATTTTCAAAAATTCGTAAATTCCGAATTTTAAAAAAATTGAATTTTTTTCAAATTCCCGCCAGAACTGAAAATTTTAGGCCATTTTTAGAAAAGTGCTGAAAATGGAGAATCAACGATTTTTGAGCATTTTGGAGCGATTTTTATCGAATTTGGCGATTTTTAAGTCTTTTTTTCAACTTTTGCAATTTTTGATTCTTTTCTACAAGATTTTCAGCATAATTTCAGCCAAAAATTTCAAAAAACTAAAAAATGTCGATTTCGTCCAAATCTGGTTGTTTTTTTGCATATTTTTCACGATTTTCATGTCACCAAATATTAAAAAAAAACAATGTTTTTTTGAAATTTAAAAAATTCAAAATTTCGCAAATTTTGAATTTGAGAGAATTCCGAATTTGCTCAAAAAGCAGTGAAATCGGGTCAAAAATGACTCAAAAATCGATAAACTCCAAAAACCAGCTAAAATCACTTTTTCAGCCGAATACCGTACTACTGTTTACTGTACCTCAAACACCGTAATTTCTAACAAGTGATTTTCAGCAAATTTTAGCATATTTCGAGATTTTTTTGGGAATTTATTCAATATTGGAAAATTTTAGATTTGTGCTTTTTTTTCGAAAATTTCTAAAATCCCAATTTTCGGAATTTTTGCTATTCTCAAAAATTCCATTCTTTTCGACGACTATCAATTTTTTGAAATTATGAAATCTTGCCAATTCGAAATTTGTAAAATTCTGAATTTTTAGAAATTTCCGATTTTGAAAATTTTCGGAACTTTCGGAAATCTGATTTTTTAATTTTTTGGAAATTTGAAATTTTTTGAAAAAGTTTGAACTTTTATATAATTTTTTTTATTTTTGACTAGTTTTAACAGTTTTAACAGCATGTTTTTAGCTAAAAATTTCGAAAAGTTTCAAAAAAACTAAAAATCTTCGATTTTCGTCTAAATATGACTGTTTTTTGCTCATTTTTCACGATTTTCAGGTCACCAAATATTCAAAAATGCGCGAAAATCAAATTTTCTGAAATTCAAAATTTCGAAATTTCGCAAATTTTGGATTTGAGAGAATTCCGAATTTTCGAAAATTTGGAATTTCGCAAAATTTGAATTTTCGGAAATTCAAAGGATGTTGGGATTTACAAAATTTCGAAAATGAAAAAAAATGAGATTTTTCGAAATTTCGAAATATTGGGATTTTCCAAATTTTAGAGTTTTCGATAATTTTTTTTCCAGATTCTTTAAAATCATTTTTGACCAAAATTAACCATTTTAGGGCCTTATTTAGGCGATTTATGGGGGGGAGGGGGGTTTTCTAGCTATTTCAGCCTTATACGGCGTCTTATATAGACTCACCTTACAATCATACCCATCTACAGTTTCATTGCCTTCTCCACTAGTAAACCAGGATAAGAAACCTCTAGAAGTTCTCTCAAAACCAATATTATCCACATCGATGAACGTCGTCGAAATCGTATTGCTCAGTCGATCATCCATTGCTCCGGGCGATTGTCGATACTCATTCAGAATATCATCATCTCGTAATTCCTGCACAACTGCCACTCTTTCATCGTGATTCAGTACAATGAATTCCGCAAATCCCTCATTGCTCAGCCGAAACATGTACGATTGATTGCCACGCACCCAATTGGTTCCTAAAAAAAGGATTTTCATTTTTTGATTAAAGAGTTTGGACCACTGACCGAGCTCAAGAAAATCAAAAAATCAAGATGAAATCGAATTTCTCGCTAAATTTCACTCTAGAAACCGTAAAACTAGACTTCTCTAGCCCAATTCTAAAGATTTCCACGATTTTCGGGTTACTGTAGCTTCAAAAGTACGCAAACACCGAATGCGAGCTAGAGAGCTGAAACTCAGAATCTAGACTAATTCAGGGGTGAGAAACACGATTTTGACAATAAAAACGCACCCAAAACCAATTTTCGGATACTGTAGTTCCAGGAGTACTCGGAACTATCGAAAAATGTTGGAATTTTTAAAAATAAACAATTTACTCAAACCCCTCATCAAATTTCTGATTATTTTCAAGAAACCTAGACCTCTTTAACTCAATTTTGAAGATTCTTCAAGATTTTCGGGTTACTGTAGCTTCGAAAGTACGCAAACACCGATTGCGAGCTAGAGGGCTGAAAATTGGATTCTAGACTAATTTGAGGGTGGGAAATACGAATTTGACATTCAATTACTTCAGAAAGACACTGAAATTTGCAATTTTCAAAAATTCCAAATTTTTGAAAAATCGAAAACTGCGATATTGAAAATTTTTTTTCGGAACTTTCGCAAATCCGAAAAATATGTGAATCTACATGAGTTTTTGCAACAAATGAGACAGAAAAATTGCAAATTGAAAACTCTGTTTTTTTTCGAATTTTAGGAATTGTCGGATATTCGAGTTATCGATATTTTCAAAATTTGGATTTTTCGGAAATATCGAAAATCAGAATTCCAGTGCTTTATTGAAGGTTTTCATTGTCAAAATCGTGTTTCCCACCCCTAAATTAGTCTAGATTCTGAGTTTCAGCCCTATAGCTCGCAATCGGTGTTTGCGTACTTTTGAAGCTACAGTAACCCGAAAAACTCGAAAATCGTCAAAATTGAGCTAGAGATGCCTAGTTTTCGGTGTCTAAAGTGGAATTTCGCGAGGAATTCAATTTCAAAATTAGTTTTCAAAAATTGCATTTCCGAGGGATTTTATAGTTAAAATCGAAAAAAAATTGCATTTCCGAGGGATTTTATAGTTAAAATCGTGTTTCCCACCCCTAAATTAGTCTAGAATCCAACTCTCAGCCCTATAGCTCGCAATCGGTGTTTGCGTACTTTTGAAGCTACAGTAACCCGAAAAACTCGAAAATCGTCAAAATTGAGCTAGAGATGCCTAGTTTTTGGTGTCTAAAGTGGAATTTCGCGAGGAATTCAATTTCAAAATTATTTTTCAAAAATTCCAAAAATCAATTTTTTGCAGTAAAGTTATTCTCCTCAAAAGTGTCTTCAGGTGCATTTCCGAGGGATTTTATAGTCAAAATCGTGTTTCCCACCCCCAAATTAGTCTAGATTCTAATTCACAGCCCTCTAGCTCACAATCGGTGTTTGCGTACTTTCGAAGCTACAGTAACCCGAAAATCTTGAAAAATCTTCAAAATTGAGTTAAAGAGGTCTAGTTTTCGGTGCCTAGAGTGGAATTTCGCGAGTAATTCAAATTTCAGCTTGGTTTTCCGAATTTTTCAACTCCAAAACGCGCAAATGCTTAGATTCGAAAGCCTTACCTTCAAATGAAGCCAAAGTGGTGTCGATTCGAACACTGCTCCCCTTTTTGTAAACTTTATGACAATCAGATGGACAAGCCTGGGAGAGAAATGGTACCCAACTGGAGAAATCCCAATTCATCTCGCAGAAAAAGTCAGGAACTTCTCGAAGCTTCTCCAGACTTCGCTTCATTGCCTGAGCCCCTCTCGTGGCTCTTTGAAAGTCTCTATGTTGAATAACACTTTGAACGAATGCCCCATTCCCCTGAGCCACTGCCTCATTCGATACGGACCACATTTCTTTATTCGGAATACTCGCATCTGCTCCAGATTCCAGAAGAAGGTTGGCGCATTCAAAGTGTCCTATGGTTACTGCCAGCATCAGCGCCGTTCTTCCCCTCGGATCGATTTTATCGATTTCTAGGGTGGATTGGTTGGCGAGCAGCTCTTTCAGATCGTTTTGTTGGTTGTTGTAGACTGCATAGTGAAGTGGGTACTCCAGTTTCAACGGTGAATCCAACACCATCCCCGGCAACACACCTGGAAAATCTTTTGATTTGAGCTTAAAAACGGCTTAAAAAGCAAGGAATTTGTTGCGAAATCGAAAAAAATGTAAATTTTCGAAAAATACAGTAATCCTTAAAGGCACATAGCACAAAAAAAACCTACAATTTGACAGGGAAAATTGAATTTTGGGCTGAAAAAAATGTTTCCAGCAAGAAATTTCTTGCGAAATTGCTTTTTTTTTTCGGGAAAATAGGGAAAAAATAACGGAAATTTTTGAAAAATACAGTAATCCTTGAAGGCACACAACATGAAATTGTAAAAATGGTTTCGCCACGAAAACTAGAAATCGGCATTATTCCCACTGGAAAATTGAGTTTTGGGTTAGAAAATGCAAAAATAACTATTAGCAAGCAGAAAAATTGAACAATTCTTGCGAAATCTTCGTTTTTCTTGGAAAAATTCTGAAAAAGTGGACGAAAAATTCAAAACTACAGTAGTAAACCATCGAAAAGTTTCAAAACGACCTTGCATCAAAAGCATCAAAATAACATCTTGCATCAAAATAACTATTTTCAGAAAATTTCATTGTAAGAACTTCATTTTTAGATAAAATTAGCCGAAACATTGACAAAAAACCCAAAATTCATATAATAATAGCTTTTCGCTGCGAAACACCCCAAAATTTCGAGGCTTGCGCCTTTAAAGCATACTGTAGATGAATAAAAAAATTTCTCGAAAAAATTCGCATTTCCAGGTTTTTCAGCTAAAAAAATCTCATTTTTTTTGTTTTTTTCTCACAAATTCTTGCTAAAATACAGGTTTTTTAATTTTTTATTAAAAAATCCGATTTTTGAAAAACCAAAAACAGGAAAATAGGAATTTTTTTGAAAAAAATTTAGAAAAAGCAAATTTTTGATGATTCATATTCCATTTTTCGCTGGTTTTTTTGTTTTAGGTTACCTAAATTTTCTAGAAGCAGTTTTTTGAAAAAAAAAAACCTTGAAAAAAATTTTTTTAAAAGAATTTTTGCTGAATAATAAAAATTATAAGTCTCTCTCCATAAAAGTTCGCCCTCCTTTTAGTGTCTCTTCTCATGTGATGATGCATGTTGTTTGTGTATGCTCTTTCTCTCCCTGTTTCATCGTCGTTTTCCTTCCCTTTCCCCCGTCGCTTCTTCGCTTGGCTCCCCCAACTCTCTGCGTCTCTCCAGCCGCCTACACTCTCTCGCCGGCGCCCCGGCGTTTCGAATTTTCTGCGTCTCTTCGTGCGTATACACTCTTTCTCTTCGCTAGTTTCTCTCCTCCAGTTTCACATTTATTTACCTCTGATTCTCCGGCGATTCCATACACTTTTCTTCTTTTTTTCGTTTTTCCCAATTTTTCAGAATTTTTGTATTTTATGCATTTTTTGTACCTTTCAAATTTGCTCTTTTATTGTCGTTTTCTGATTTTTTTTTTTTGAAATTTTCTTTTCTCCAAATAATTTTTGGAGGCTCCAAAGTCTTCCAAAAAATTCCAGAATCAGTTGCCAAGATCACTGGGAAAAAATTAGGGTTAATAGAGGAAAAATTAGGCACGAAATGGGTCAAAAAATAGATTTTCAAAAAATTAAAAAAAAAGAAAAATCGAGGAAAAATGAACGTCGCGGTGTGGTGGGCGCTATGGGGCGCGGAAGAAACAAAAAGGTCTTTTTCTCTCGCTCTCCATCTCTTTTCGATATATTGGGGTTGGTTGGCATTGGGAGAAGAACAAGAAGAAGAAGAAAATTTGAGACAAAAAGTCGTCTTGGAGCCGTCCCGTCGAGAAGCATCCAATTAGAATTCTCCACCCTCCGCCTAGAAACCGTCAATTTGGGAAATACCAAAAATAGGCGGCCCAAAAAAAAAAGAAAAAAATTGGGCGTCTAGGAGGCTGCTTTCACCTAGAAACCACCAATTTTGAAAGACCAAAATTTTGCAAAAATCGGAAAATTGGGCGTCTAGTCGAATGACAAAAAACTAGACGGTTTTTGAGTCGAATGACGAGTAGGTGTTGGTCGGACGGAGATCAGTTCATTCATGGGGTGATTGGAGGTGGAAAAAACGGTTTTTACTCTAATTAAAAAGAGGGAATGCCAGAATCTGGGTCTCCGACGAATTCCACGTATCACCGGAAGTGATTAGCTAGATGGTCCGGCTTCTAAGCTTTTGACATAGCTTTCGAAGCGTTACTCATGTCTAATGGTCCGTTTTAAGCCAATTTCAACGAATTGCTGGCATTATATCGAGTCGAAATTTTCCGCTGATTCGAATGGTCTCAAAATCGAGGCTCCAACTGGAAAATGAGCTGAGTTGTGATCCCTTTTAGCTAGCTAACAGAAAAATTGGTCATAGCTCGGTTCATTTTTCAGCTAGAGACTTAATTTCAGTATTATTCGAATCGGCAGAAATGTTTTATTCTTAAGATGATCCTAACTCGATTCCTAGTGGAGCTAGAGCTCCGATATTGGTACCATTCGAATCAACGTGAATTTTTACGCAACGGATACGCCGGAAAAGACTCTAAAAGTCTACCCTGGACGTTTTCGAGTCGTTGAGCCTAAAAGTCTTGATTTAGATAGCTTTGTGTTGCGAAAGAACAGTTGGCATGGTGACAAACCATGCTTCCTTGGGACCTGGAACCTTTCTAGAGCCGTTATGTAGCTGGCTACACAGTCAGCTACTCTTGGCGCGAAATCTGGAATTCAAATTCATCTTCCAGCGTTGGTTACGGTACCAAACTAGCTCTAGACCTGACGCGTGGCTTGAAGCTCAACCTGGAAATTTGTAGTACCTTTTCATATCTGGGATGTCCCAGAATCTCAAAAGAAAGAACAAAGATTCGATTTCCCTCCCGCCAGGGGGTCCCTCTGTGTGCAGCAGCAGCCGGCAGCATATGTTCGCTTTTCTTGGCACGCAGCCAAGTCAATGGCCAAGCGGGATGACGTCACCCGCGTCACCTTGATCCTATCTCTGAGAAATTGCATAAGATTCTTCCGAATTTTGATATTCTGAATTCTGAAGTCGTTGTGAAGAAGGCCACGTGGCTAAAGCCTCTACAGTTATGGGGAAATTGAATCCTCTCGATTTTCAAAAAAAAAAAATGTTGTCTCAGAGTCTAAACAATGACTAATAGAAGTTCTCAATTGCTGCCCTTTTGTGACCACCCTTCGCGGAGATGTTGCCTCTTCTTCCACACATCGTCATCGTCCTTCCTCTTCTTCTACTTACTGCTTCGCATCTGTTTTTGAAAAGAAGAAGAAGAATCGAAATCGCACACACACACACACAACCAACACCCCAACACAAAGTGTATGTGTGTTGTTCTGACTGTCTGGGTTCTCTTCTAGCCTGGCACACTATTTCGTCCAATTGGCCCTCAGAGGAGAGGGTTGTGTTATAACTACCAAAGACTAGGGGGTTTGCAGAGACGCAGACACGCGGGGCAGATGTCTGACCTTCATTCTCTGCGCTGTTTTCGGATGTCTGCGTTTCTATTCGGGGCGTATAGTGTCTCTCTTCGCTGCCCGAAAGGTTCCTCACAACGCACACACACAACGCGTATTGAGACGAGACGCTCTCTCAATCTCACTCGGTCTATTTTCGAATTGTATCTCCACCCTCTCTATTCTTCGTGATCTTGTGCCAACTGATTCTCTTGGAGCGAAACGAGGAAAATTCAAATATCAGAAGAGTCGAAATACGGATACCTGATAAAGAAAAACATGATGAACTCTGGTTTCAGCGCAAACATTTTTCCGTCAAGCTCATCGCCCAACTCTCTGTACCAACAGAGTCATCAACTGGTAAGTTTGAAACGTTTTGGGATTTGGGAATTTCTGAAATTTGGAAATTTACGAAATTTTGAACTTCTCAAGTTTGAGAATAGAGATTTTGGGCCCATTTATTTCGCTCACCATACCCTATTTCCTCGATCAGAAGCTCAGCCAAACTGTCAACGTTAAGCTCAGTTATCTCGGTTCCTGTGAAAGATATCAAAAGTTTGTTAACTGATAAAATATTTATCATAAAATGAGCAATCCTTTATCAGTTGACAGATTCTCGGTATCTTTTATAGGAACCGAGATAATTGAGCTCAAAGTTGAGGAGTTTTGGGTGCGCTTCTATTAGAGGAAAAACGATATTTTGGAATTCTCTCAATTTTGAAGTTTTGGAGTCTTTGAATTGATATTTCGTTTATTTTGGAACTTTTGAAAATCGGAAAATTTTCGAAATCAACAAAATTATTACTTTAGAAGGAAAATATGGGAATAAATGCATTTTCAACTGTTTTCAACTTGAAATTTTGAATTTTGAAGATGTTCATGAAGGAATTATCAATAGAGCGCGTTTTCGAATCTTATCGTTTTCGATGTCAAATTCGATAGATTTAGAGAAAACGCGCTCTATTGATAATTCTTTCAAAAAATAAAAAAGATTTTCTTCAAAATTCACATTTTCGAACGGGAAAAAATTGGAAAATCGAGGAATTTGCGATATTATTCTGCTTCCGAAGGTCCCACTGCGACAACTACAGTAAGTAACCTAAAAATATTGTTTTTAGATTACGGTAGTTGTCGTTGTGACAAGTCTTTGAAATAGCCTAGATTAGGGTCCCCTCTATTCAATTAAAATTTAAAAAAATTCAAATTCCCGGATTACAGTAATCCCTGATTGCTCATTTTTCAAAATTTGCAGCAGCCGAATCCATCGACGGCAATGTATCAGACGACTGGTCGTGACATGGGCAAACCGCCCGTCCGTGGCAAGACGTCTCCGTACGGTTTCTTCGTGAAAATGTGCTACGAAGAGCACAAAAAGAAGTACCCGAATGAGAATGTCCAGGTGACTGAGATATCGAAAAAGTGCTCAGAGAAATGGAAGACGATGGTCGACGACGAGAAGCGACGATTCTATGAGCTGGCTCAGAAGGATGCCGAGCGGTATCAGGCTGAGGTTAGTGTACGTTACTTCTTTCTGATTTTGAATAGGTCTTGGAGATGAGCAATGAGAAATGAGCAATCGTCTCTAATTGAATTTTGATATTGTCTCAGGTTGCCGCCTACGGTGGAGAGGATGCGATGAGGAAGAGGAAGCGAGCCAAGAAGGATCCACACGCGCCGAAAAGAGCATTGTAAGAGTTTCAGATTTGGATTTGCAATCAATTTTTGAAATCTATAAATTGAGCCAGTTGCGCGTTGATGCCAATAAAATATACCCAAATAGATTGCAAATTTGAACTCCTCGCAAATTTTCACTCTAGACACCGGAAAGTAGAACTTTCTAGCTCAATTTTAAAGATTTTTGAATTTCCCGGGTTACTGTAGCTTCGAAAGTACGCAAACACCGAATGTGAGCTAGAGGGCTGAAAATTGGAAGCTAGACTAATTTGACAATGGGAAACTCAATTTTGACAACAAAAACGCTCAGGAATTCACGCGAAGGCTGTTTTTGGCTACTGTAGTTCCGGGAGTACGACGTCACTCCAACATTTTTTTGGGCATTTTTGAAAAACAACGTTTTGTTAAAAATCCCTATTCAATTTCTGTCTAAGTCAGGGAAAACTAGACTTCTCTAGCTCACTTTTGAGGAATTTTGAGTCTTCCGGGTTACTGTACCTTCGAAAGTACGCAAACACCGATGACAATCTAGAGAGCTGAAAGTTGGAAACTGCACTAATTCAAAGATGGGAAACTCGATTTTGGCAATCAAAACGCTCAAAATACTCAATTTCACACATTTTATACCCATATAATTTTTGGTGGCCTAATTTTTTCGAAAACGCGATTTTCTAGGCCTCCGAACTCTTTTTATTATAACTTGGCCCAAAATTGAGATTTTGAAGTTTCAAAAAGCGCAGTATTTAGCGAATTTTAGAGCGAACTGCAAAGGACCTGATGGCCGTGGCCTAGAAAACTCCAATGAAGTTTCTAACCCCGCGGAATTCAAAATATTTCCAGATCCGCATTCTTCTTCTACTCTCAAGACAAGCGTCCCGAAATTCAAGGACAACATCCTGACTGGAAAGTGGGACAAGTGGCTCAGGAATTGGGAAAAATGTGGAAGCTGGTGCCACAAGAGACGAAGGACGCCTATGAGACGAAAGCTCAAGCTGATAAGGATCGATATGCCGAGGTGAAGCATTTTTTAGATGGAAAATTCTAGAAATTTGAGGGGAAATAGGCCCATTCTCAATGGAGCGCATTTACACTTTTCCCCATTTCTAGGGGAAAGTTTTCGAATTTGATCTATTATCCAGCTTAGACTTCAAAGTCAATGTTCTAGATTCTCGAAAAATGGAATTTCACAATTTTAAGCAAACGCGCTCTATTGATAAATTCTTTATAAATTCAGATTTCTAGACAAAACTCCAGTGAAAAATAGAGAGCTCGGCGAGCTCTCCATTTTAAACTAGGTTTCGCCTAGAAATTTTGATGGAAGTTTTGACGAAATTATCAAATTATCAATAGAGCGCGTTTGCAAAAATTTCGGAAATTTGACAAATTTTTAGTGGAATAGGCTCTAGGAGTTCATCAGAGTCCATTTTGAAGTCTATTAAACAAAATTTTCATTTAAAAATTCCATTATTAGCGAATTTGCATTAGAGCGCGCTTGCAGAATTTTGATTCTGGCGTCATTTTCGGGAATTTTTTCAGAGAAAAATGTGCTTTAATTCAAACTTAAGGCACTCGAAAAATGGCGCGAAATTCGAAAATTAAAAAAGAAAAAACGGAAAAATGCAAACGCGCTCCAAAGCTAATATACTAAAAACTTTTAAAAAAACCATATAATTTCATTAGAGCGCCCTTTCAGCAACAAAGAACACATCTTCAGGGAATGTTGCAAACGCGCTCTAATGCGAACTTACTGAAACTTTCATTGGAGCGCACTTTCTGAAAAAATGATTATTTTCAGGAAACGCGCTCTAATGATACTTTTCTTGTAAAATTAACAAAAAGTTCGAAAATTTTTACAAACTTTTTACAAAACGCGTTCCAATGCGAATTCATCTGAAATTCGAAAATAAAGCTTAGAAATACTCCGAGGAATGTAAATGCGCTCTATTGACAATGACCTATTTTTGGGAAAATTTTTTTTTCAAAATGTTCATTAGAGCGCACTTTCAATAAGCCCCCATATTTTTTGCAGGAAATGCGTCACTACAAACAAGAGATGACAAAAATGTCGGGAGGAATCGCTGATTACGAAGACGACCATATGGGACATCATGTCGTTCATGTGGAAGATATCGGTGGCCAGAATATCGCCTAATTTCCCCATTTTTTGTCCCAATTTTTCACAATTTTTGCATTCTGTCTGACTGTCTCTCCGTCTCTTCTCTCTCTCCATCTACCCCAAAAATCAGCGCAAATCGTTCACTTTACCCTCTACAATCCCCCTTCCCCCCAAAAATCCCTTCAGGAATCAATTATTTTTATTTTTCAAATAATTTTAATTTTAATTATTATTCTATCCATCATAAAAATCTGTTAGATCTTCTCATTTTTATTCCCCAAAAAAACCCATTAAAATAAGAATTGAGATGATTTTGTTTGTCCTGTAAATAATCTCAGCACCACAAGCCCCGCCCCTTTTTTCTATAGTTATCTCTCGTTCTCTGCGCCTCCACCCCCTCCCACACACTCTCGATTCCCCAACAACAATACTATTATATAAATTTCATTTCGGTTAGAGAAAAAGAGACAATTTTCGACAAAAAAAATTATGACCCGAAACAAAGAAGACGTCAAACGTGATGACGTGGTGGAAGCATCATTCGATTTGATGACGATGGACTACTCGAAGAATCCGATCGATACGGTTTTCGAATGTTTCGTGGAAAGGGGATGTACTGTAGGGTGTTGGATGGATAGTCGATGAGCTGGAACAGAGAAAAATATAACCTAGAAAACCCCGAAAAGTTAGCTCACTAAATGGCCCAAAGCACTAAAGCAACGGTGGCCTAGAAAACCTCCGGTGGCCGAGTTTTTGGAAAATGACCTAGAAATCCCCCAAAAGTTCGGCCACTGAATGGATTAGAGCTCGGTGGCCTAGAAATCCAGAAAAGTTAGGTCACTAGCTCGAAAAATACGGAATCCCACAGTGTCGTTTTTTTTGTCAATTTCACGTGATGATCTATAAAAACCAACTTGCCAAAGCTAGTCCACTGTGGTAAATGACCTAGAAAACACGAGAGGAATGTTAGGCCATTTTAATTGGATGGCCTAAAAACTCAACTTGCAAAAGTTAGGTCACCACTTCAAAATGACCCAGAAAACACACTAAGGGCAGGTCATTTTTACTTGGTGGCCTAACTTTTGCAAAACTTGAGTTTTCTAGGCTACCATGCTAAAATCACCTAGAAAACACACCAAGGGTTTTTTCTCAAAACAATCATTTTAAAGGTGGGGGAACATGAAAAAAATAATGTTCTCGAAATTTCGTTCAAAGATGCCCCTCGAGGAGTTGAACTTGTGAGGGCGATGATTGAGGGTGCGGCGCCGCTACCGACTGAGCCACGCGGGCAAAGAGAAAGCGCGCGCCCGATTGCATACATAAAGGCAAAACGACAGCTGTACGCAGAGTGACATTAAGCGTTGTACACCATTACGGTAGAATGCATACCCTAGCTACAAAAAAACTACGAAAAATCTCCTGTCCCCCACCTTTAAAGCACGAAATTTATCCCATGACCCTTCTTAAACCTGAAAAAAAAGAAATTTTGATAAAATGTTCCCAAAAATCCAGTTTTCTCTCAAAAAAATACTCTTGAAAATGTTTGCCTCAAAAACCCGGGCCAGCCGGGCCGGGCGGGACCAGTGAAAATTCCTCCACCGGCCTCCCGGCCCGCGACATGTATGATCGGTTTCGAATTCCAACTTTTTCTAGGTAATTTTAATGGGGTTATTCAGGGAGTCGGCAAAAAATGAAAAAAAAAACTCCGCGAAAACTCGGAGAGTGTTTCAATCTGGCTGAAACTTTGGGGGAAAACTGGAGAAAACTATAGGAAACATTTTGACCCCAAACTTTGGCAAAGAGTAATCAGATGTTGGAACTCTTTACCCGCCAAAGTGTTTCCGGTGAAGCCCTCGTCAGCGGCTTTCAAAAATCGACTATTATCCTGTGATCTAAAACATTTTCTTGTCTTGAATTCAACTAATTACTAACTCGGTTTTTCCTTCATCTCCCAATTACTACAAATGTATGTCCCTGTTATATCTCCTAGTTTCATAGACATTTCACGTGTTAGTGGTTTTCTCCCCTTCGTTGAAATAAATAAATAAATGAATAAATGTTTCCTATACGAGTTTTCGCGGAGTTTTTTTTTTTCATTTTTTGCCGACTCCCTTAATAACCCCATAACGGGGTGGCCTATCTTTTGCAAGTTGGATTTTCTAGTCCACCATTCTAAAATCAACTAGAAAACACACCAAGGGGAAGTTAAGCCATTTCTAGACCATGTTACCAAGGTGGCCTGGAAAACCCAACTTAGGTCCCAGATGCTGGTGGCAGAGTTTTGGTTTTCTAGGTCACCAAAAAGTTAGGCCAGTCACGGCCTAGAAAACCATAAGTTAGGCCACTAGATGCACAAAATCGGGTGGCCCAGGAAACCTTTGCCCACCAGTTTTCCATTGAAGATCTAAACCCCGGTGTCCGAGTTTTGGACTTTAAGGCCAGCAAAATGGATTGCCGAAACAGAAACGAAAAATTTGATTATCTAGGCCACCACTGGACTCTTCTGGTGGCCTAGAAAAACACATTTTTGGGTTTCTAGGCCGTTGTCTGAAGAAATAACAAATACAAAGATTACAAGTGAGAAGATTTTGTAAGATTCTGTATTTTTTAAAATTTCATCTGATTTCAGTTTTTATAGTATTTTTTTCCTGAAATTTGACCCGCCTTCGGCCAGGAATTTCGGGCCATCGCCTGAATAAAAATGATAAAACGGATTTACAAAAAAAATTGATGATCAATAAACCATTTCAGAAAGTTTCATTTTTCAGAAGACACCTCTTGCCTTCCTGACACCAGAAGACCAACACTCCTATTTGCATACATGTGGATGGCCGGGCCGGCCCGGCCCGCTCGGCCCGCCTAAGACAACTTTTCGAAAATTTTACTTTTCAAATGTTCCAAAATATTTTTAATAGCACAAATATTAATTCAAATGCATACAAGCATCCGAAAAAGTCAATTTAATTGACTTTTGAGCAAAAAAATCAAACTTCATTTACCCGGCCATGTGTAATTTTTTCCGGCCCGGCACGGCCCGCTTTCAGAAAAATCCCAGCCTGGCCATGGCCCGGCCCGGCCCGCGGGCCGGCCATCTTTTCCACAAGTATGCCTATTTGCCTATTCGAATGATTTATCGTCTGATACAGTTTTGGACACATGGAGCGTTTTTTCATATTTCAACGATTATTATTCGTGTACGGAAGTGTTCGATTCGATACCCCAAATATGGGTATGAAGTTTGATAAAACTCAAAAGTGGGATCATGGTAGGTCAAACACTTTTCGAAATTTCAAGATCATTCATTAAAACTTTTTGTTTTATATTCCAGCTCCTATCGATGCATTCCGAAATCTCAATTTGCGTTGGACCAATTCTCAAGACCATGAAAATTTCTCAGTTAATTCGAATAATATTACTAATGGATGGGTGATTATTTAAAAAAAAGCATTCCATTCGAATATAAATGTTTTTTACAGTATGGTGGAACCTATGTAGGAAACCGGAACAATTTTTATGGAGGCCATTACAATATGGCCCTGGATTATAACTATTCGGAACAGGATGTACAGAATCTCCAGATCCGGATTTACAGCAACGAGTGAGATCATTGTCAAATGTATTTCCTTTTTCAAACATAAAGAAGAAGACTAACTAGCAACTGGCTGCCATACAGTGATTGATTTCTGTTGGATCGATGGATCTTGTTTGATATTTCTTATTTATTTTTTTTTTTCGAAGTAAATGAATACAATTTTTCGATAAGTTCATTAGTGTACCTTCTTTGAAAAACTAAAATTTTACTAAATTTGGAAATTGGAGCCATTTTTCGAATGACCCAGAGAAAAGGAAGCAATTACTTTCAGCGTGTTAACCATTTTTTTTTCAACTGCGCTCCAATGCTAATTTACTAAAAAAGTTCATTAGGGCGCACTTTCCATAAAAATAGTTTTCTTCAGGAAATGCGCTCCAATGCTAATTCACTGAAAATGTGAAAAGTTTCACCGCAAAATCCACACACAATACTATTATATAAACTTCATTTCGGTTAGAAAAAGAGACAATTTTCGAAAAAAAATGACCCGAAAAAATTCAAAAATTCAAGAAAAGAAGACGTCAAACATGATGACGTGGCGGGAGCATCATTCGATTCGACGACGATGGACTACTCGAAGAATCCGATCGATACGGTTTTCGAATGTTTCGTGGGAAGGGGATGTACTGTAGGGTGTTGGATGGATAGTCGATGAGCTGGAACAGAGAAAAATATGGCCTAGAAAACCCCGAAAAGTTAGCCCACTAAATGGCCCAAAGCAATAAAGCAACGGTGGTCTAGAAAACCGTCAGTGGCCAAACTTTTGGGTTTCTAGGCCATGACCTAGAAAAAGAGACTCACCTCTCGACGCCGTCGTTGTCTGATGAAATAACAAATACAAAGATTACAGATGAGAAGAATCAGAATTAAAATGACTGATAAGAGGATGAGAATGATGTAGGCGTGGTCATTTTTGCCGGAGAGTTCGCTGAAAAAATATTTTTTCGGTGGCCGAGTTTTTTTCTAGGCCACATGCGCTCTATTGAAAAAAGTTCTAGTTTTGCTAATTTTAAAAATATTCGAAAAAAAGTCGGTATTTGAATTTCAAAATTTCAGAATTTCTGATTTTTTGAGTTTTTGAATTTCTGAATTTTTGAGTTTTCAAATTTTTGGAAAAAAACAAACCTGGGAAGATGTACATATTTGTCGAAAAACGTCTGAATATTATCCATATTCTTATTCCATTTTCCTCCTTTTCGGTTAATTTGGATTCTCTGTAAAACGAAAAACTCGTAAAATATTTATGAATACATACACAGAATTTAATAGATCCAGTCGGTTAAAAGGAGGTGAAAACGGAAGAAAAGTGATAAAAATTATGAAGTCAAAAAATCGGGTCCAGTATTTTAAATTGTTTTAAAGGCGCTCTATTGATAATTTCTTCAGTTATAAGGAATTAGAAAACGAACAAAAAAAACAGTGTGATTTTAATGACTAATCAGTTACTGATCAATCAATCAAAGAATGGTGATCAATTGGTTTTGAAAGAGATAAGAGGAATAGGGGATGAGAAAAAAACAATTCGATTGAATTGTAATTATTTATTTAAAAAAAATGTTGATTGAAAATTAGGAAAAAAACAGACTAGAAAATTAGAAAATTTTCGAAAAATGAACTAGGAAAAAAGTTTTATTTAAAAATTTTTTAAAGAAATAATGTGTAAAATTCAGGATATTGAGATTTTAAGAGTTTTGAGATTCTGAAATTTGTAAAATTCCTTATTGTCTAACTTGGAGGTTTTGTGAAAAAATTTTCAAAAGTTTCGAAATTCAGGATTTCTATAAATTCCAAATTTTTCAAAATTTCTTGTTTTTTTAATTTGCGAAAATCTCAAAAAAGTTGAAAAAATTCAAACTTTTTTGGACACATTTTTTCCAATTTTCACAATTTTTAGAAAATATGAAATTCAGGATTTCCTGAAGTCTCAATACAGATTCCCAAAAATTCAAAATTGTCTTTTTTTTGGATTTCTTCAGAAACTAGGATTTTTAAAATTCATGATTTTCAAAAGCCTTCAAACCCCTCAAAATAAATGAACCGTCGTCCATTGTTTGTGGCTAATTTTTTTGGAACTTTCCATGAATTCGAATTTTCGCTAATTCGAAATTTTTGGAATCTCTGAATTGAAAAGCAAGAATTCAAGAATTTATCTTTAAGAATTTCAGAAATTTTTCGAGTTTCTGGATTTTGAAAATCAGAAATTTCGAAAAAAAATCAGAATTTCCAAATTTTGAAAAATTTCTGGAATTTCGCAATTCTGACCTTCTGAATCTCATAAATTCCAAAAAATCCTCGACTCAGAATATCAGAAAAAAAAACGCAGTCTTGAAAAATTCTGGAAATCTCTGAATCTCAGGGCACTACTAATTCGGAGG